ACACATTTTTGGAAGATTCAGGAAATTTTTTCAAGTTTAAGGGCTTCTATTTTAATCTCAAATAATTAATCTTAAAGATGAAAAGCGTAAGATAAATTTACATTTTCACGATAATTTAAAGCATTCCAGTGAATCGAGCTTCTTAGATCCAAAATCTGGGCGCACTCAAATGAAATTCACGATTAAACAGCGGACGATTAATCAAAAGTTCCAACTATACACATCCAGAAAAGCTGTGCCATTGAACACTATACTGTAACCAGCAGTTGTTCGACTTTGATTCGAAAATTCCTACCGCCCGCTCATCACGCCGAGGATTATTATTATTCATTGCTTTTTGTGTGCATGTACACATCCAAGCTCACTCTTTTAAAATTCCACGATCATAATTTTTTTTTTCGATTTAAATGTGTTATCCCCCTTGAGGGCTAGAAAGAAAAAATAATGATAACCGAGCCTGCTTGCGCAGCATTTTTACACCGCTAGAATCCCCCCGCGGCGAAAATGCTGGGGCGGACGACAACGGCGGCGCGAGGCGGCGGCGGCGGCGGCGGCCGCGACGACGAGATCCGACCTGACTGCGGAGTCATTATTTCCAGCCCAGTTCGCTGCCTTGCCTGACCATTTGAACTTTGCGTCTCACTTGCTGGGCATGCCTGGCTATTGTTCAGGCCTCTTTCTTGCATCGGGCTAGAGTCGAATAGACGGAATTTTAAGCAGGGGCGTTTCTTTTGCTTCGCTGGAGATGATACACGTTCTACCTCACGCATCGGGCTTCGTTCGGCGCTCAATTTTTGAAGCAACCGGTATTGTATGCATAAATGTGTATGCTGGGAGTGCTTCGATTTGCCTGGCTTGAGTCACGATTTTTGGAAGTTGCTGTATTATATGGCTATCGAGTACATTTGCGAGATGGTCGAGGACGGAAATGAAGTTATGTCTGAACGGTTGTACTGTATCTTCTAAATAGCGGAACGCATCACGTCACAAAAGAATGAATGATCAAAGCTCATTCCTTTTTTATATTTTATTTAAAGAATCTCGATTATAGCCCCATGTAAATTTGTATGGCCAACGAGTATATTTGAATTGGATATGCCACGAAAAGGTTGAAATGTGTTTTCTCAAGAATGTAGGTACAGAAGTCCGAATCGACTTTTCACCAAGGGCTTAAAATATTTTTCGTGCTGTCAGTCTTGCGAAAATTTGCGGGTATCATAATATTTTATGCTTACGCGCAAATTTTTGAACGTCTCCCGCAACTTTTTTTTCTTTTAATGATGCACAGAAAAAATATTTAAACGGTAGGGGGATTATAAGCTTTCTTGTTTTTGTTCCGTTTTGTTATAATGAAAAAATGACAATTTTCATGCCACATGCTTTGCGTTCAATGAATGGGGAAAATCTGTAAAGACACGTTATCAAATATTAAATTGGAAAGGCAGTTTCTAGAAGTTTTCGAGCAAAATGGCATCCATTCGGATGATATAACCATTTGAAAATTGCTCCATCGGTTTTCGCTTCACCATGTGCATGTGTGCTAGGAGAAAATGGTCCAGGGTAAAAGGACTGGATACAAAAACATAATTGAGAAAAGCACCGGGCGAAAATCATTCCAGTTCTTGCTCAAATAGGGCACAGACATCTTCGAAGTTATCGGTTGAATTTTTGTGTGTGGCGTTTTTGAAGAATTCAAGCGAGCCAGTGATTTTTTTTTATCATCTTAACTTTTACAAAAATCCATGGATTGTGCACATTTTCCGTATTTTCAGCCATTTCTTTTCTTCATTTCGAAGAAGAGCATGATTCACCCTAAATTCATGGCCCCATTGAACATGCTGACAAATTTCAATTCCTTATTCGCGAATAATCAAAGGAGCGGTTTGTTTCTGATTGCATAACATCGTCGTGTACCGTCATTTCCGTAATGATGATTGCGGGAATCGTCTTCATATTTGACCCAACTTGCACGATTCCAAATAGTCCAAAATAAAAACCAAAAGTGATGTCTTGACCCGTTTCTAACAGCAGAAGCTAACATTTTAGCCAGGTTCAGCCTGCGACGAGAACGGCATAATTTTACTTCTGGAATGTTTGAATCGGAGGTCAATGACGTTTGTCATTCATCTGCGTGGCGATGCGGAAGTGTTCCCTCCGCCTAATGAAAAGATTCGGGGTTTTGCGTTGAGCAAAGAACTCTGTTTATTCAGGGTAACATTTAACTTCTCCTTGACCTTTTCCACTATTCACACAAAGTGTGCACAAAACATGGCCGAATGTTCGAAACGGCGGGTCGTTTGTTCTTCCGTCCATGTTGACTCAGCTCTTTTTCCCACCGAAAGTTTAGATTTCCCTAAATCGTGATTAAATTTTTTTCTGGGGTATTCTATTATGAAGTTGTGTCAAATTTCGTGCTCACTCCAATTTAATTAACTTCAAGATAATGCTGAATGTTGATTCATTCTTTTTTAAAGAATGCCAGCAAGTGTTTGAGTCATTCTCATTTTATGAAGTGAATATCATGGACATTGCAATGTGTTGATAAATCTCAAAACGGAAACTATGCTCGAAAAATGCATTGCTTGAAACTTCGCGGGGGATCTTGAAAAATAATACCTTTTCAATTGGCTGATGACCGACAAATTTTGATTACGGTATTTTAGGAATGACAAATTTCTGTGTATGGCACATTATTATCAAATGCACTCAATTTAAAAATATTTTATTCAAATTTCATGCATATATTTTCAAATTTCGCGGACAGGCATATTTTATATCGGCGTTTTTTGTATGTTCTGTATTGCCGTGCATTTAAAAAAAAGGAAAACTACCTCCTACCAGCTATTCAGTTATCAATTTGTGGAAAAACTACACTTTGACTTTTTTTCTACCTTTCCACTATCTACATGAATGATAAAAACCGTTGCATCCGTTTATTCCTCGTGTTTGTTCATTTTATCGGGTTCTTTTGTCAGACCTGAAGAAACAGTGACAATGGTTGCGCGTAACTTTCCTCATAAAACCGAAGTGCAGACTTCCCGATTTTATGCACGTGTTCTACAATTTGTCATTAACTTGTTGATGATGTCACTGCCTGGTTCAACTTTCTCTTCAGCCTTCGAGTGCATCATTAAATTCAGATTAAATGTGGAACGATAATTCCCGAAAAATTGGGTGTCGCAGTAGCCTTGTTAAATGTGCTGAACCCCGTGTCCGAGGCGACTTGAAAAACTGGTTCACTTCGTAAATCTCGGTAACAGCGCTCAGTGAAAATTTTATCGATTGAAATAATGCACTGTACTGTGATGGATTTGGGTCGCTTTCTTCAGTGAGGGTTCTTTGCAAATTCTAATGGATTCTTTTGTTTTACTTGAAGAAATGAGATAGCTTTTAAATTATTTCAGAAAATGCTGTTGTACGTCGACTTCTCGGGATCCACTTTTTCTTCCTCGGATTATTTTAGAGTTTTGATCTGTGACAGAATGATGAAGATAAATCATTAATTCAGAGAATGTCTTTTTATGAGGTCATAAATCCAGTATTTGCAGAGGTTGAAAGAATGTAAGGGTTTAATAATTTGTGCTTAGCTTATTTAAAACACTTTTTTATTTTTTTGCTATGCTTAAAATCATTTTGAATCTCTCGAGAGAAAGGGCAAAAATCAGAGTTTGCAGTTACCAACGTGTTGAAGCATCATGATTTTTTAAATAAATTGAGTTTATTCCACCAACATTTTAAAATTGTTATATATTTTTAAAGATTAATAATTTTTCGCATGAAGTTGAATTTTTTGGGCTTTTTTTTCAAATGAACGATAGCTTCTTGCTGCCAACATGATTGTGCATGGTCTCTCGGAACCATGTGTTGGATTGCAGTTTTAGCTGAGTTATCTCTTTGAAGCATTTCATTTGGCTATTCTACACGTTGATGACACCATCGAGCGAAGGAAGTTGGGTGCAAAAGTTCCATTTACTGTCGCGGATTGTGAAATACGATCAAGGAACTTTCCCAAGTGTGCTTAACGCACCGGTCGAGAATAAGTAACCGTAGTTTTCTTCTCCTTCGTGGTCATTAACGTTCTCATAACGACGCATCGCTTGTAAAAATCACTATTTATGGATGCGTTTTTACGAGTCGAATACGTACAATGAAAGTGCGACGATAGTAAAAGGCTGACGAGTAAGATTGCTTTACGGAATATCTGTATAGCTGTGATTATTGCACGAAAAATATGAAAACCTTCCCTCTATATTTTGCGTATACAATATATATTTTTTTTTATTTACGAGCGAATGGACGTCTTTTTCACTTCGCTGTTGAGTAACTACGCTTTTTCAAAGTCTCTAAACATTCAAATTTTCACATTTAGCATCATCAAGAGAGAATGTTTTAATATCTGAATCATTTGAATGCTTTTCGGATCTTTGGGAGATCACCTCTGAAAATATTTTTCGCAAATATATTTAAAATTTTTGGAAGCTATGGCAAATGCTCAACACTTGTTAGTTTTCTCCTCGTCAAATTTGATGCACAAAAATTAAATGATCGATAAGAAAAATTGGTTAATACGTCAAAAATTACATCCACCCATTGTTTCACCAACTCCAGCAGTGCGATGCTTTAAATGAATGCTTGATCTGCCAATCGAGTATTAATTTATTTTGAATTTATTTTAAATTTTGGAAGCTATGACAAACGTTCAACGCTCATCAGTTTCCTCTGCTTCAAATTTGATGCTCAAAAATTAAATCATTGATCGGGAAAATTATATTACTCTACTGTACAGTAAATGATTAAAATTACATCCATCCATATTTTGGACCAAATCAGGCTTGAGGTAAATTCTTGATCCATCAATACAATGGCAATAAAAATGTTTTTCGAAGGCAAAGGACGTTCTTCGATAAGAGAAGCAAAATTGTAATACTTTGCATTAGATAACACCTCTTGGAAACGGGATTTCATCAGTTGTCTATTCTTTCTTTACTCTTTTATCACAGTGTGTTCCTGTATTTACGCCGAGAAATAATGGAGCAACAGTGGTTGTAGTTGGCGATCCTTTGCCGCCAAAGCCGCCGCCACCTCCGACAGACCCTCCCCTGTCGCTGACGACCAACGGATCGACGGTCGTCATTTCCGGTCCCCGACCCGTGTGCAAAAAGGTGTCGCTCAAACGTCGTCCCCCGGTCAACAACAAGTCCTGGGCGAGACGTTGTCTCGAGAAATCCGAGTCTCGCAACAGTTCTATCGGACGAAGTCAAAGCCATAACCATTGTCCCTCATCTTCACCTTCGTCTCATCCTTCACCATCGGCCGCCACTTTTGGTTCCCCCATCTGGGTCCAGTCGCCCTTGTCACCCTCATTGATTACTCTCAACGGAGATCATCATCATCATCATAATAATAATAATAATCAGCAGCAACTAAAGCAGGAAGCGACGCCGTCGAGACTGGATTCTCTGTCGTCATCGTCTGTCGTGGCGGCGAACAGTTCGCCTCGGGCGAGGGCTTTGTCTCACGGCGAGATGGACGCCGGAACCTCGTCGCGATTCGGCGCCCGGAAGCTGGGCGTGTTCAATAAAGCGGAAATGCAGGCGGCGGTGGTGACGAAAGATGAGAAACGACCGCCGTTGCCCACAGCTGCCAAAGATCGGATTGCCGGACTGAATCTCTCCGTGAGTTATTGCGTGTTTGTGCAAAATGTGTTTTTTTGTTGTTGTCATGATTCGTCTGTTGTTTCGTAATTCGAGGAAGAGAAAGACTTTATTTCGGACGATCGAGGCTCGTTGTGAAAGGAATCGATATTGATACAGTATTTCCAATTTCAAACGCTGAGTAAATAATCGAGAGAATTGCTTCTGGGCAATTTATTTCAAGGACATTATTATCGACAATTTCATTAGGGTAGGGCATACTACAGCAGACAGTATATAGACGGATTTCCGAGGTCACCGAAAAATGCATAATTCAGGAAATTAAAACCAGGTGGTCAAGTCCTACTTTTTGTTGATCATATGTTAAATTTGTATCTCATTGAAAATAAAGAAAATTGTGATGTATTTGAAAGTCATTCAAAAGCTCACTAATTTTTAAACTTTATGGCATAACTTCGCAAGTAGTGAATTCGCATACGCAAGATTTTTTTGGCAATGATCTTCTATTTGGGGTTTGCATTTTTCCGATGACATTGTGTCAACTGATCGAGGATTCAATTTTTTGTTGTTACATAAATCCATTCACTCCCACCATTATATTTCACTGAGGTTTTAACCTGACATTTATGATGAACATTTTTTCTTCGATTTTTCGATAAGTTTGAATTTTTATTGAACAAAAATAATTTCCCATTAAAGATTTTTTTAAGGGCAGCAATGATGATTTTGGAAAAATATATTTTTTTAGTTTCCTAGCTTAAAAATCTCAAGTTCGCGAAAGAAAAATATATGATCTAAAGCAAGCAGCTAAGTAAAAAAAAAATATATGGTGAGGGGAGATTAAAGGAAACACAAGTTCCCCTGACGTATTTTTTGTTTACTTCATGTCTCCAATCAAGGTTTTTTTAAACCGTTCCGGTATTAAAACGATAAGAATAAGTTCAAAAAAAGGTATTCTTATGTAATGGGATAATTTCTGTCTGAGGAAATGTTTGAAGAAAAAATGTATTACGGAGGAACCTTGTTCCGGCAAAAATTAAGGGATCCGGAAAGTTCGTCATAAAAATTCGTCGTATTCAGATTCACGCAGCAACAACAAAATAAAAAATTTAAAATTCAGTTTTTGGGTTGGAGCTTTCTTCCTTTGAACTCGAGTTTCTTTCAGCCAAAGCAGAAAATTGTTAAGCAAAAAAAACGATTAAAAAATTGTCACGACATGAGCATAGTTTCTCAAATTGAAAAGTACTGTATTTTACCTGAATCCTTTGAAAGTCTAATCATTGCAGTAAAATTTGGCTTTTATTTTTCGCAATCTTTAGTAATACTATACCGATGTGTGCATTGATTCTTCAACTTCAGTCAGTAAACTTGAGCGATTATAGCCGCATGAAAATTAATTTCAAGATTAATCTCTCGAATGTCGGAGAGAAAGATTGTAGGAATACTTCTTTAATATTTTTAAATATGAATCATTGAAAGTGAAGTTTTATAATGGAAGTTGTGCCATTCGTTGTAACGCTACTATTCAAGCAGTCACTCCGTGGTGTTTCGCCGTCGTCTGACGTCTGAAACTTTTTTGTTTTTCAATGGAAAAAATTCCCAATGACGGAATTTCACGTTTAAAACTTCGGCTGCATTCCAGATTCAATCCATGGTCGAGAAGGCGAGGAAGCGGGTGAATTTCTCGAAGGCCGTTTCAGGCGATTTGTCACCCGGAGGTAAAACGGGCGGAATGCCGCTGTGCAAGGCGTCCAGTTCCCCTATGATCACCGTGGGTTCGGGATTGAAGACCCCGACAGCTGGCAACGAAACCAGTTGTCGGACGCCGTCGTCGAGCAGCAGTGGCGCCGAAGACTCGGACCTGACGAACGACGACGAGGACGACAGCGAGAAAGAAGACAACAGCATCACGTCGCCGTTGAGCTTCACCGAACTTCGGGTGCGTTACGATTTGAAACCATCCTCGGATTTTATCGACGAACTTTTCTTCATTTATTATTTTTTGCGAAATATGCCTTCCAAGAATCAGGATCTGTATTATTGAAGCATATAATTTTAAAGTTCATGCCTGAAAAGCCACTCGAAAATGTGCGTCCAGAATCAGCATGTCTCCGTCGACTCGAAAAACCGAGACCGAAATCACGTGAAACTTCCTGGGAATTGAAGTACGAACAACTGGTTAAATTTGCAGTTTTCATGTAAATTCCAGACCCAGAAACTCTTCACTTGCGACGTGATTTTTGTGCTTGAATCTGAAGCCCGCTTTTTTCGATTGCGCCTTTTTTTTCGAGCGAATATGACCTTAAAATTCGGCCTCGGGCGAAACGCTCTCCAGTACTGTACTCAATAGCTTTATAATGATCCGTCGAACAAATCTGTGTTTTTTCATTTTTCCACATTAAAGTCAGAACATTCTTCAAACGTTTCCTCCGCCGCATGAAATTATTTGATGTTTAATCACCCGATTATGAACCAACACTTTGTGTCTTCATCCAAGGCGCTGCCGTTTTTTTGGATTTCTGAGTCGAAGTTGGAGGGAAACTGAGTGTTATATTCGTGAATATATTACAGAAAAGGATTCAATCGATGATTAAGATTAATTTTTCATTTATTTCAGGAACGATGGAAAGAACGAGAGCGGGTTGTCGAGAATAGGAAGAATTACGTGAGACGAGTTTCTCGAACGGTGAGCTCCGTGTATCGGAAAAACTTGTTGACTGGTTGCAACAATCGGGTCTTCGACTGTCTACTCGTCATTGGGCTGTATCACGATGCCCGACGTGACGTTTACAAGCCGTACGTGCGGAAAGCTTTTCCTCAGGATGTGAGTAAATGAATAAAATCAATTTATTACAACGATGATGAATTTTGGATTCACATTGGAAACTTACCCGCTGATGAAAACATGGAATCACTTCTAGCGTTTCTTTTGGTCACGGCGGGTGTGAGCTTGAAATTAAAATCAAAGCTTACTGAAGTTCATCGATTTCTGAGATGGACCTGCCCCAAATAATACTTATTAATAAGAACTGATGCAGTGAAAATTTTTTTCGGCTTCCTTTTGATTTTCTGCGAATAATTGACGCATAAATTGTAAAAAAAAAATGGTGTACTTTTTCTCCGCGAAGTGCGCCTCAAAATAAAGCAGAAAATAAACCCTCTCTAGGAAGTAATTCTTTATTTTCTTTCCTATATTGAGGTTGCGTGGAAGCAGGACAGGGAAACATTTTATCGCCGTTTTGACATTGTTTTGGCACTTTTCGTCATCCAGGCAAACATTGTGTAAGGGAATTTAGACGAAATTCCCTGAAAATCTTGAAATATAATTCTGAACACCAATTTTTACCGGGTTGACTGCCAACAATGTTTGACGAATGTGACCAAGACAGCTATTTTACAAACCATTTTATATTCGTGTCTTGTAATGAACCACAAAGCAACTCTGAGGGCCTAATTTTTTTTTCAGAAGTCCCCTCCATCAGTCACATGAATGATTTTAAAACAGAAAATGTTAAAATCTTACTTTAAATTAGTCATTTTAATTCAGCACTTTTATTTCTTCAAAGGATAAGTCGAACCGCTCGTCAGGAACTTTTGCTGTTGAAAAAACTGGTCTTTATTTTTGTCAACGCACTGTGAATTACGCTAGTCGCCAGAAAATCGCCGTGGAATAACTTTGTCAGAGAATACCAGCAACATTTCTCAAATGCAATGAATACACTATTCCCGAACGATCCTCAATGGAAGTTTAATTCATCCAACACACGATTTGCCCCAAAAATATTCACAGTTATGTTCATTCGCGCCGCGTTGTAACGCAATCGTAGAAACAAAACGATCGTGATGCCGTGTTTTTTTCTTTTTTCGTCGCGGCAAGACACGAAACCTTTGAAAAGAAAAGAACGAAAAAAATAAGAGCGTTTGCATCAAATACACCGCGTCACGAATTACGTGCCATCTTCTCATCTTTGACATTCCGTTTGCTGGCCTGAATAACTTTATCCCTCGATGACAGCTATGAGGAATAATGCACTGAGAATGTTTCGAGACGGGATTGTCTTCTTGCTTCAGTAAACGACGCATGTGTCGACGAATGTAACTTTTTTTTCTTTCCGTGCACGAGTTCATTCGTAAATTTTGCCGGGCGGGCTGTAAATTCGTCAAGTGTGTTGTATTTGTTGTAAATTTTATATTAGGTCGATCTATGTGTTATTTTCAAGATGTACGGATTTCTTCGAGTGTTCTTGGAGAAATTAGGAATCTTCAGACAGAATGATAACCCATCTTTCTGATTGAGATCCAGCTGAAAGTTTTCATGACGTCTGCGGCATCCATGACAAAAGCTTGATTTTAAATGCTGTAAGAAAAGATGTTCGAGTCGTATACTTGGTCAATGTGTACATTTTCTACCGCCAAGTTTGATTTTGATTCCTTTGACAGAATCAGCATCACTGCACCGGAATAAAATGCATTAATAGGGAAAAGGAATGACGGCCTTGCCGAGAAGGTTCTGTTATGTCTATATATGAGGAATATTCTTACTTCCGAATATTGTTTCAAGATACCGGTGGAATAGAGAAAGCTGTGCAATTCATACCAATGCAATAATACGCATGCATGAGAAGACGATTTATTTTTTCTGTTCAGATCAAAGGAAATTAATGCGGAGATATTTTTTTTCTGTCGGAATTTCTCAACATTTTTGTTTTCGTTTCTTGATCGAAATTTCCTTTTTTTTCAAACATTTTTTTCTAGGCGAGCTACCCTGAGAACATAGCGATGTTTTGCTTCCCGGATGCGTGCAATTGGCGCCGGAAGACGGGAGGCGCCGAACTGAGTCGTGACATTTCAACGTGCAACTCGTATTCGATCGTGTTGACGAGTGACAAGGGCGAGCGAACGTTCGGCTATTGCCGTCGTATCGTTCCCGACAGCCAGGAGAACAGCACTCCGTTGGCCTACTGCTTGCTGTCGAAAATCCGGGCTCACGGGTTCTATGACAAGGTGTGTGTCAGGCGTGATCTTTTCCAGATGGGCTTCATTTGTTGGTTATATCGATTGTACCCTGTAACCTTTGTTCCACGGACCGGAAAACGTTTTTCGCGGGTCCGCGGGAAATTTTCTCTAGCACAATACATTTATCAAAGGTAGTTATGAATAAGTTCTCTTCATCTGAAATTTTGGAAAGACCATGGTAGTTGAAATTATCTGATGAAAAACAAAAGTCTGTAACCCTTCGGTCCATGGGCCGGCGTCAGTCCAGAAAACGTTTTTTTGCTGGTCCGCGGGAAATTTTCTCTAGCACAATACATTTATCAAAGGTAGTTATGAATATGTTCTCTTCATCTGAAATTTTGGAAAGACAATGGTAGTTGAAATTATCTGATGAAAAACAAAAGTCTGTAGCCCTTTGGTCCATGGACCGGCGCCAGTCTGGAAAACATTTTTTGCCGGTCCGCGGGAATTTTTCTCTGGCACTATAAACTTATCAAAGGTACTAATAAATATGTTCTCTTCATCTGCAATTTTGGAAAGACAAGGGCGGTTGAAATCATCTGACGAAAAACAAAAGTTGGCTTTTCTCCTAATAACACTGAACAAATTGTTTGCCTGCTGATATGAATTACTCCAAGTGAAGTATTCATTCTGAGAAACCGTTGTTAAAGCCCAGCTTTTTTTGTTTTTGAAGAAATTCCTCTGTAGCTGCTTCATTGGCTCTTCACTTCACTTTTGCTGTAAAAGTTTTGATTGAAGGACTTTATGGCAGGTGCAGTATTTCAAAATTTTCTGCTGGTCTGCAAACAATATATTGAACTTTGCCAGTCCGCAAAAAAGATTAAATGGAAATTTACCGGTCCGCGAGCCCCAAAAGGTCGATAATACTACGTTAATTTGGAGGCAAACCCCAAATTGCGCAAACCTTTCAACAACAACAAAAAACAGGCACAGGCGAGTAAATCCCAAACGAGGTTGTGCATTAAGTGATTAAGTGAAGCAATTATCAAAAGAGCGATTGTAAAAAATGCAAAAAATCAATTATCAAAAGTATCAAAGGAGCAATAAGAGGAAGTTTAGAAATACCCAAGTACGGCGAGGATCAAATGGCAATCACGCCAATTACGAGCTTCGAAGGAGAAAGCACCGGAAGTATCAAAAGTGCCATAATCAGAATCTTGAAGCACGCGATGAACAATTTTATTCAAGGAAAATCTTAAATATCTCAATATAACTAAAGTGAAACGCGCTCGATTCGATCCAAGGGTTTCGACAACCTCCACTTACTCACTCGAATTTTACTGATACACTTTTTCGCGGTACTGCTCTTTCGAGTTAGAAGTTGCTACATACTTTGATATTCACTCCTCGGCGGTGTGAGTGCGATTTTTGATACCTTTTCAACTACGTTCTTCGTGCTTGCTATTTTGATTTTCACTCGTTCGTCCAATTAATCTTTTTATACTGTACCTGCATTTATATGTACGGTACGTCGAATCGCCTTGACAAGTTGAGATCTCGCCTAGATGTGCTATTATTTTCGACTGCTGGGCGAATGAACAAATCGAGAAATTGAGGAGAACATTTTAGATACTCCACGAAATCGCCAGACGGAGAATTGCGTAATTTTTTCCGTCGAAAGTTTCGTAACAAGAGGAGAGTAATAATTTATCGAATCGTCTGAAGTATCCGGAGTCGGCGAATTCGAATGTACGAGACTGTGATCATCGTGTTCGTCATTGTAACATTCCAATTAAATTTTCAAAACTTTTTTTCTTTACTTGCAACTTCGCCGAAAGCCTAGCCTTCTCCGACGGAGTGCACAGTTGAAGGAAAACTAAAAAACGCACATCATTGTAAAAATTGGAATGATGCAATTGTAATTCACTCCTTGATCACTAGCGTTTTATTTAAAAAAAAAGAAGAGGGAAATGCCTCATTTATGTACTGTAAATACTGCACGTCTTATTCAAAAATCAGAGCCAAAAAATTCCACGCTTCTTGAGGTTAGTTTAAATAAATTGAAATAACTGAATTAACCTCACTGTTTGACCAATATCATTCGGATTAATTTCCAACATCGTGAGCATCATAGCGAAACCAACTCAAGGTTTACCCTTGAAGTGATTCAGACTACGATTTAAAATACGCAAATTTCATAGGATGGTTATTTTTTGCAATTTTCTGCATGGTTACTTGTGTATGTTTGAGAAAGTCTCATGTGATGAAATTCTGGTGGATATGCAGTACTGTTGAGAAGTGCCAGAGGAAAGTAATTTCTATTTATTTCGAGAGTTTCTAAACAAATGAATGTCGTTGAGAATGTAGTAATATTTACGTTGCAATCCACGAGTGATTTATGTCGACAGACAAAATGATGTTCTCTGCCGCAAAGAATTTCGACCGAATTTGATTGTTCTTCAACCTTTTGCAAAATTATATACGTGTGTGTTTTGTGTCCTTCGTTGTTCGGGGGACGCGTGCGTGAAATTGGATAAGTCTTTCATGAGTATTTCATAGTCATTGAAGGAGAATATGTGAAGATTTTTAAAATAAATTTCGGTACTGTTGAAATAGTTTTCCTTCGTCAGATGTAGGATTGAGTGACGAGCTTCATTTGGTTTGATTTCTTTTTTTCCCAAATCCTATCAAATGAGGATTAACGTTTTGCCGACAAAATTTTCTTTCACATTTCCCGTTCAAACCTGATGAATATAAGAAATTACAGAAAAAGGGCTCCCTTTTTTTGTCACTTGCGAATAACCGGACCTTTTTTTTTTGTTGCTCCATTTTTCAACGTCTGTGGGATATATTTTTTCCCCAGCTCATGACCGTGTTAACAAGTCGACACGGAACAACGGATGGTCAAATGCAAACTTTCCTCACTCTGGTTGCGCGAAAACAGATGCCTTCGCCTGGTCAGTCCATCAGCTTGCCGTCCATCGGTGCCGTCTTGAGAAATGCTTCGCCGGACGTGAGCCCCACGCTGCAGGTCATCAATGGTCATCATGCTTCCCCCAGGTTGTTCTTCACACTTTTTTTTTCTTCGTAGCCTCATTATGGGCCCCATACTTTGATGATTTATCGTTCTCATTTGTATGAAAAATGTGCGTCGCTTTCGGGAAACGTTTCGAGTCAATATCGACCTATGAAATAGTGTTTTGTAAAAACTGAACGATGCTAGGTAAAAAAAAATGTATATATTTATGGGCAAATAATATGATCAAAAGTTAAGCTACCACAGGTGGACTACTTTCTACAACGAAATTTAAAGGAACCAACAAAAATTCGTTATGGAGAGAACTCCTTAAAGCATGGGGATGAACCCGTATGAGACCACAAAAAATTCGTTGTACAGAGAAAATCGTTGTACAGTATATGAATTCATCGTTGAGAAAGTCCATCTGCATCAATTGTTAATCGCTTGTGGAAGGATGCAGCGTAACTTCGATTATTTAAACTGAAAAGTGTCGCGGATATTTAAGAATCAATTTTTAAAATTTGAATGAAAGAATATTGTGCAATGGATATTAATGGAATTTACAAAAATGTACGGAAGCAACACATTTACCAGATGCATTGTATACTTTTTTAAAGAATTACTCCGGAAAATTTTCGGTTTTCCTTCCTAAATTCTCATGTAATATTTTATATTTTGTAAATATTTGATCCCCGCTTCAATTGTTTTTGTCTCAATTTTATGAGAATTCCCGTGTGGACAACGAGATGGTTGGAAGGAAATTACGCTGTTCGAGTTGCAGTAATTTAGTCCGCTTTATATCTGCTTCCTGAAGTGAAATTGTGGCTCTGTATCAATCAAAATATCGGTTATCTCAATGCAGAATAAAATAAAGTCGTTACTCATTTTTAAAAATATCATTCATGAAGAAAACTCGTTCAGAAAAGTTCGCGGTGTTTTGGGACGCGCTCAATCGTCTGGTCACGGAATTTCTTCATCCCTGAAAGTCAATAAACGACATAAATTTCCGCCCACCGGTGTTAAAATTACAATTGTTCAAGAAATTTATAGATTGGTATCTTGGACGAATGTGAGAAAATTGTCTAAAAAAAAAAAGATTCAGTGGATATTGACGCTTGTTTTTTTTGTTTTTTTTACAGTATTAACAGCTCATCATCGCCGAATAACGGAAACGCGATGATTACCAGAGCACTTGACGAGCGGCTGGAGGAGTCGGACATTGCGGCACTGGTGGAGACGCTTGACCACGGATTGCTGATG